CCGTTTTCTATGATAAGTAGATAACCAACTTTCCCAGAAAGTAGATATTTTCCATTTTCTGTGATAGAAATTTCCCGTTTTCTATGATTATCTACTTCGGAAAATTTGGTAATATCTCCCAAAAAGTCGATAATCTACTTTCCCGAAATGTAAATAATCTACTTTTCGGAAAAGTAGATAACCAACTTTCCCGGAAAGTAGATATTTTCCATTTTCTATGATACAAATTTCCCGTTTTCTATGATAAGAAGATAACCAACTTTCCTACTCAAGGGTCATTCCAGGGGCGGTGGTACCCCGATGAGCCCTGTTATGGTTGGTGGCGCCCCCAGAGGCCCACCCAATTACATAGGTTCCCTCAGGGGGCCTTCCAGGGGCTGCAGCATCCCCATGGGCCCGCCCAGGGGCCACGGCACCCCCCACGTGATCTCCTAGGTGCAACAACATCCCAGTTCCCCCCTCCCCCCCTGCGGGTTCTCCCAGAAGCAGTGGCAGCCTCCAGGAACCCTGCCAGGTACCCGTCCACGGTCGGTGGCGGCCCCTTGGGACCCTGCCTGGGGCAGCGACGCCCCAAGGGAAACTTCCCAAAGACGGTCGCGACCTCAGGGTCCCTCACAGGGGCAGCAACCCCTAGGGAACCTCCGAGGGTCACTACCATGGCCGGTGGCACCTCCAGGGCCCTCCCAGCGACAGCGGCGCCTTCTCGGGACTTGCCACTGTTGCGTAGCGGCACCCCCAGGTGCCCTCCGAGGGACATCGGCGCACTCAGGGGCCCTAGCAGGGTCGGTGGCGTCCCCAGGGGCCATCCTAGTGACAGCGCGCCTCCAGGGGCCTTGTTAGGGGTGGTGAAACCCCCTGGGGCCCTTCCAGATGCAGCAGCGCCCGCAGGGACCCTGCTAGGTGCCGCGGCGCCCACAGGGGCCCTGTCAGGGGTGGCGGGGCTCCCAGGGCCATCCCAGGGACAGTGGCGCCCCAGGGAACCTTCCAGAGACGGTCGCGCTCCCAGGGACTCTCCCAGGGGCCCTGCCAGGGTCGGTGGCGTCTCCAGGGGCCCTCACAGGGACAGCGGCGCCTTTAGGGGGCCTCTCCATGGTCGGTGGCGCCTCCAGGGGCCCTCCCAGGGACAGCGGTGCCCTAAAGGGCCCCTACGAGGGACAGTGGTGCCCCCAGGGGCCATACCAGGGGCGGTGGTGCCCCCAGGGGATTTCACAAAGACGGTCGGGCTCCCAGGGTCCCTCCCAGGGGCAACGGCCTTTTCACGGTCTGTGCCGCCTCCAGGGGCCCTCCCAGGGACAGCTGCAGGTCACACAGGTCATCACACTGCAGCAGCTCCGCCACTCCATACATAACAAGCTGAAGGATTGAACACGTCCTTAGTTTCATGCCAACTAAGCTATTTACTTGTACACCAGTTAAGTATGCCACTTCTTTGCTAACAAACTCTCCCAAGGACTCCTCAACTGTTGGCATAGGCTCAGCATCAAAATAGGTTACATCATTAACACTACTTTAATCGATGCACAATCTCCATGAATTGTCAGACTTCCTTACAAGAACAACAGGTGAACAATATGCAGAGTCAGAATGTTCAAAAATTCCCATGTCAAACAATTTATCAACCTCATTAAACACCTGAACTAAATTATGATGTATTGGATATAGTTTCTTGTAAACTGAAATTATCTGTAGTTAATTCAGTGTCATGGTAAATACTTTCTGTTTTACCTGGTTTACAAAAAAACACGTCTGAATATCCTAAAATAAGGGAATCAATCTCTTCCTTTTGTTCACAGGATAATGTGCTATTGATGCCAACCTTTGAGCTTGTATCAGAGGAATTGTCAAAGTATTCGTTAAAGGTTGTTAGATCTTCACACCAATTATGATTAACTCTGCATTTATCCCTCAACTATGCATGATTGTACCAAAGGAAAAACAAAAATGTATTAATAATATATTAAGAATAGTGGACGCATATTAAAGAGACCATACAAAGTATGAATCACTGCTGGCATAGAGGTGGGGCCTGGTGTCACTTGGCGACTCGGTTCCAAACACACGTGTGACGGTACACACAAAAGTTGGTGGATTTTCCGAAATTTGACAAAAAAAATGAATGAATGCCAGTGTGACGCCGCCTTAATGAAGCCCACCTACCTAGCCTAACCTATTCTAACCTGACCCCGATAACTTAACTAACCTAATGTTCAGTTAAGTTAAGGTAGGCCAGGCTTGATAAAGATAGTACAGAACTGGTTTTGCTAGGTTAAATTATATTAAAATTGTTTACATTTCACAAGTTGACTAGTCATTACACGAAATGGCCGATTACACACTTTGACTAATATAATATATATACACAAACTGTGACGTGATTTTTTCGTTCCTCCTTTTAACTCCTTATTTGTGTTTACATCAATAAAAATGGCAGTCGCCTGTTTGCCGTTAATATAATCGAGTGTCTGATAATGGATGTCCGTTTTACATTCTATATTATTGCGCAATACCGAAAATACTTGAACCAGGACTAAACACATAAAATGATACGGAATTGTAATGAATGTTTTTTTTTTATCACTTTTCCCAAATATTGTACACAGTTTTGATGTCTATGGCGTAGAAAAATAGTTACTACCCTTAAAGACGTTTGTTGCTGAAACGCAATAACAACAATATTACGTAAGGTCAAGACAGAGAACGTGGAGTCACCCTGAGATAACCCAAATACCCTGTGTGTCAGAGTAGCGTCGCCGGACGTATGATGAGAATATTCAAGTAGCTAATAATGTCCGGGGACAGGCCACGAGGCGCACATTCTCTCGCTTGCTAATGAACAAAGGCGAGAGAATGGTGAGAAATCTTTAGCGGGACACCCCTTGGTCCCAGGTCAGTAGCCATTCTCATTACCCGCGGACTGACGACAGGCGCGCCAGTCATTTGTTTTCTTAAGGTTCGTGTTCCCATCCAGAAAACTGTCAGCTCTCTTCCTACGTCCGCGTAACTTAGTGTGAATTCAGATATTATTAATTTCATCGATTCAGTATTTTTTGTATATATATAAATTTGCTATATTTTCCGAAACAACGAAAGACGTTGACATAATCATGAACACTTCTCACCACTCGGAGACACACCAAATGACAGTCGACGATCGATTACGTCACAACATGGCGTCGTGCGCACGTGATGTAACGATTGTTTGGTTAATGAGACGAGGGGAGAGGAGGACGGAGTGGCTGAGAGAGAAAATCAGCTGCTTTGTCCTAGTCTAAATAGCCGCCTGGAGTCATGGATATTTATTTCTACATTACTGTACAGTCTCAGGTATAAATTGATCAATGTTCCCCGTCCTTACAGTCAACCTACCATTAATGAACAAGGCAGTTAAAGTCACTTCAGTATAATTACAAGTGGAAATTCTATTCAAACAACCTTGTATGAGGTAGTATAGCAATGATTCAAAATAGAAAAATGTAAAATTAAAAAAGTAAAAAAAAGCCATATTTGGTATTAATGTTAGGTCGAGGAGTTTGGTCGAGTGAAGATCATGTACACATTACCAAATTAACTTCGTTATTGATGGGGATGTTTTACCGTAAATATTATCTAGGTTAGGTTAGGTTAAAGTGGGTTTAGTTTATGGACGCTACGGAACACCGCATACTATAATTATATAGTAGCAACAGTGATTGTGTGGTGGTGGTGGTGGTACTGGGGGAAGTGATTGTGTGGCGGTGGTAGTGGGGTAAGTTCCCCAGCACCACTACACAATCACTTCCCCAACACCACTACACAATTCTCCGGCATCACTATCACAATCACTTCCCGGCATCACCATCACTTCCCCAGCACCACAATCACTTCCCCAACACCAATACACAATCACTTCCCCAGCACCACTAACAATCACTTCTCCGGCATCACAATCACTTCCCCAGCACCACCATCACTTCCTCAGCGCCGTCACTTAAACACTTCTTCAGCAGCACCACCTAAACACTTCCTCAGCGCCACAACTTCCCCAGCCAGCAGCACTATCACGTATTCTTAGTTGCAACACACAGTCAGTAATGGCTCCGGTAGCGAGGTGGTCCAGCCCGGCAGGAGGTCAGGTGAGTTGTGAGCAGCTGTGTCCAGTCCACATCTGCTACACCCTCCCTCATTCTCAAGTTTACTGAAGCTGAGAGACACCTCACTCATTCACTCGTTCCCTCCATTTGAAACATCATTCGTAAAAGACGATAATTTAAGCCAGGGAAGAATCATTACAAATTGTGGATCATTAACAAGATAAAAACACTGAGTTGTGTTTACCAAGACAAATATAATACGTGTTGGTTTACGCGGAAGATAAGGATTCAGACAGTGTGGGTTCATGACTCCTGCTTCGAGGTTTTGTTCATGAGATGGTTTGAATCCTTGGTCTTTGGTGATACTTGGAATATGACGTCATGGGTGGGTGGAGCTTAGAAACAAGGTGTTCGGGTTAAATAATGATCGTTGTGCTTGTTTGTAATGACCAACAACACACAACAATGATATTTACCGTAAAATACATACATCAATAACTAACTTAATTTGGTAATGTGAACATAATTTTTACTTTATCGAAATTCTATCTAGCCTTCCACCAACCAAAATACCTGCCTTGTTGATTAATGTTAGGTTGACTAAAATTGTTGACGGGGGACCTTTGATCAATTCATACCTGAGGCTGTGTAGTATAGGCCTAAGCTAGATATAATTCTCTGGTCGGTTATTATTTTCTCTGGTCGGTTATTATTTTTAAATGGAATTTACGCTAATATTATACTACGATATTAGGACACTGTTTATGTATTTTAAATAAAGTACCAGGTCATGCAGTGATAAGAAGAATGAAACTGGGATTGACATTAAAAGATGATGCCTCATTTACAAACATTGTCTAATTTTAAGACAAACTAAGCATTTTCAACTCTAAAACGTGTGCGTGTGTTTGTGTATAGCTCTGTATGTGTGTGTGTGTGTGTGTGTGTGTGAGTTCTGTATGTGTTGTGTGTGTGCTCCTGCATCTACTAATCCAATATCTGACAACATTTCCCCAGATTAAATCCAGTATCGCAACTCTTTACAATCCATCATCCATACACTACCAGGACCACCCTCCGGCCACCACCACCAGCACCCCTGCCACGCCCCCCTCCCCGCCTCTGGCCGGAGGGTAAGTGTGTGCAAATGAACAGTTTCGAGCACCCACACCCCCACTGACCCCCCCCCACCACACTTCTGCTTTGATGTGCCGCTCCAATTTAGGGCTGTCAGGGCAAGCCAGGCCCGGGGGCAATAATGACACCAGGGGCAAGGGGGTGATATACCTGGCTCTTGGGGCAAGACTATGTTGATAGTGACTTCCTTAGGGGTAAGACAGTGTTATGAGTGGTTCCTTGTGTCGGGTGCAAGACAGTGTTAAGGCTGGTGTATTGGGGGCAAGACAATGATGGGAGTGGCTTCGTGGGAGTAAGATAGTGTTGTACAAGGCTTACCGACACGGGATATGTTGTGAGTAGTTTCTTGAGGGGCATGGAAGTGTTATAGAGGGGATCATGGTAGTGTGTCATGGCGGTATACGATGGTTGTGAGTTATGGCACAGGATGATGGTTGTGGGTCATGGTAGTGAATAATGGTAGTATAATCGTGGCTTTGTTGTTACTCTGACGTCACTAAACACACGTGTCATTGTTTCCATGCACTAAGGAACGTACCAACTATCTTTAAAAAAAAACCCACACACACACCACAAACATGGCTATCCAATTACAGTGAGAACTTAACAAGGATAACAAAGGCACAAGACATTTAAATCGGAATATTTAATCCATATACCGTAGGGAAGTAGCTTTGTACAACGATAACAATGCTAGCAACTAGACTGGCTGCCCTACCCTGACTTGTACACTTACCTCGTAAATATTGTACTTCTAAAAGCCAGATATTGAATGAGAACAAGAGTCTGATTACTTCCTACAAATACAGTATAGCACTTTGTTGCCGACTCAACCCTCTCCCCCCCCCCCCCCCGAGCAATGGGATATGCAGTATAATGCAGAATTTTTAAGTTTCACGAGTATTTAGCACACCGAGTTACGTTTGTGTGCCAAATTGACGATTGTTTTCACGTTAAAATATTAACTATCTTTGTCGTCCCATTTTTACTGTACAGATTAATTAGTGAGAATGTACAATTAGAACATCAAAGCGCTTGTGTACAGTACATTAGGTTACGGAAGGTTTGATGAGATTTTAGGAATTAAACGTTCTGTAACCTATTTTTTTTTGTGTTTTCATTAACGCTGACCTAACATCATGTATAGTAAATATTGAGTGAAGGAGAAGTGCAGTAAGTTTAATATTTTTGTGTTGTTCAAGAAATATGAATCATACCCCCCCCCCACCTACATCCATCTCTCACAAGCAAATGACAAAAAAAAATGTTCGCTATTCCTCAAACCGCTTTATAATTTATTATCTATTTTTTTGGTCCAGCTCTATATTTTTTGGGTATAATTACTTTAAAATAATAACAACCCAATAGTCTTAAGGATTGATACAACTTACAAACAGTGTTTACTTTTTGTTCTATTGCATTTTGAAAGAATATAAATTTTGTAAAGGTGTAGAATAGCGGCCGTATAATTTTTGTTTGGAATTTTGGTTAATAGGTTTATTACAAATACTTTCGCTTCAATATAATGTATAGAATGCAAATTAAGTGAGGGCAGGGAAACAAATTAGCGCAAACTTACTATATAATAACAGTATAATGTCCATGAAGTAAGTAGCCTCGACTGTGTACAATCTAGAGGAAGACTTCGTGGGGTCTTCCCTGACCAACCAAACCTAGTTTAACTAAATACAGTAAACTAAAATTGACTAACGTTATTAAACGGCTTCTATTTTGGTGGCTCATTAAGGCTCTGTCCAGAAATTATTAGTAGGCTTAGCTCCTTCGAATCATACCCAATCGTTGACATTTAAACTGTTGTCGTTTTTTAATGGACGGACATGTTAATTTTTTTTAAGTTTACACTCCAATTTCCGGCGTCACAACAGTTAACTATTGCTACAGGATAAACCAGGTACTGTACTTACTATTGCTAAAATCACAAAGCACCTGTATCCTTCCTTGCTGATTGATTATATACGCGTCTGTACATAAACATACAAGTTACTATTTGTGTCGCCACCAAATGATCGGTTAGACATAGGAAATAAACAAACCATTTAACCTATCAGACAACAGGGTAGAAACTTATGAAAAGCTTTTAAATGTCTTTTTCGACAATTATTTAATATGAATATTATGAATAAATAAAACAGTTTCTACTCAATGCACAACATATATTTTGTACTATATATAAGACGTATTGGTCCGTACATCTTGTGGCTGAGAATGCGTTGTGTTATTTAATATTAAGACACAGACAACTTGAGGGAGCGAACAGACCGCCGCAGCAACAGAAAACATCTTTGGGCAACAGGAAATGACAGACAGACAGACAAGCAACCCTCATGTTGACAGTGAATGCGAAAAAGAATATACTCTATTTTTTCACCATTCTTGATCCATTTATTCTCCACAAAAACAGAAAAAATATATATTTCTCAGACCTGAATTCACTCCTTTATAGTAGGTGTCGATACTTGTAATTAATTAAATAATTAATATGTCTCTGAACACTAGTCTACATTCTTATACTACTGTACATTAACGCTCAACAGGTCCAAGAATACCTGTTTGAACATCTGTTTTCAAATCCTTCACCAGTGATTAAATATATTAGCTTGTGACTTGGGATTCTTTCATATGGAACAGAAAAAATCATATATTTCTAACGTTAGATTCATTTCATACATTGAATCCAAACATTATGAAGCTCTCGGGGAATTTAACTATTGTGAAACAGTCCATCGACCTCTTTCCTCCCGTCCTGTTGGCTTCCTACTGGGTGTTGGTTGAGGGCACACTCGACGGGTTAGGGGAGGCCAAACCAAGCGACTAAGGGAGGGCTAAGCCAGGCATCTGAGGAATGGTTTGCTTGCAAGATATGGTTGGCTGACTGGCTCTTGGTTAGCTGGTGCTTTGGTTGGGTGATGACTGGTAGCTTTAAGCTGACTGACTGATGACTTTAAGCTAGTTCGTCGTTAGCTGGTGGTGGCTTGAAGCTAATTGGCTAGTTGTTCTAAACTGAGTGGCTGATGACTCTCAGCTAATTGGTTGACAGCTGATGACTCTTAGCTCATTGGTTGATGGGTGATGGCTTTAAGCTCATTGGTTGATTTGATGACTTTCTGACTGGATGACGGTTGATGGTTGCAGAGAGGCCAGGTGGGTGAACAGCGGTGAACAGTCGACACGGAAGGCTGGCTGGCTAGTAATTCCATGGGTCCTTATCGTAGTGGAAAGATCCTGTGAACGAGACATATGTAAGAAAATAAAACCTGGATTTAGGAATTATCTTCGAGCAAACAGTTAAGTCAACCTGGAACCCAAAGATTAACTCCACTGGAAAATTCTACCTCGTCCTCCAGTACATTAAGGAACTCTTCTATAAATATTACCTCCAGTACAGTCTATTTAAATAACTGTTTAGGCGGAAGGTGAATGGAAGTCCTTTTATTGTATATACCCACTGAATGAACACCTGTCAGAGCTCCCCGTCTCCCCACAAAATATAAAACTCAGGTTAATTATTATCAATAAAGTAAATCAGTGATCCCTTGAGTGCCAACCTCTTACTTGAGTGCCAATCAACTACTTAGAGTAAATCCTTGAGCGTCAACCAACGAGAGAGTGAATAAACCCCTTGAGTGCCAACCTCTTACTTGAGTACCAATCAACTACTTAGAGTAAATCCTTGAGTGCCAACCAACGAGAGAGTGAATAAACCCCTTGAGTGCCAACCTCTTACTGGAGCGCCAACCTACCATCATTACGGCGCATATTGGCGTAAACACAACATTGTTTATAGTGGTCACAGCATCGTTGTTGTTTGTTTCCCTCAAGTAGACTACAGAACTTGGCCCTACAGTACTGCTCCTCCTTCCTCCTGATCCTGTAGGTGAGAAGAGGGGGATAAGGAGGGAATTATAGAGGAGGAGGGGAGGTCACGAAGAAGGAAATTATAGTTGTATTTCATGGAAGTTATAGACGAAACTCAGGTCAATGAGTTATAGAGGAGTGTCACGTGGATAAGAGAGTTATAGAGGGCTTATCACACACACACACACACACACACACACACACACACACACACACACACACACACACAGAGGCCATCTCACCAAGACTCGATACTTACACTTCATTGTAGGATTTCGAGGGCCGATGGACGGGGCTGGGCAGGGCCTCAACGGGGGCTGGTAGGGGTCTGGTCTGGGAGAAGCTCGGTGGCTGTCGTATAACCTGGGGTCTATGGTTAGATATAGTCTCAGGTGTAGGCTCGGGTGTAGGCCGGGGTGTAGGCCGGGGTGTAGGCTCGCGGGGGATTGATGGTTCATCTTTCAGAGGTTGAGACCTGAGGGAAGGTAAGATGAATTAGTGAAACTCTCTCTCTCTCTCTCTCTCTCTCTCTCTCTCTCTCTCTCTCTCTCTCTCTCTCTCTCTCTCTTCTTTCTCTCTCCTATATTTCTCCACTTAGCTTACTATCTTTCTTATTTTCTATGTTGTATAATAATAATAATAATAATAATAATAATAATAATAATAATAATAATAAAGTATATGCATGTAGATATTTATGTAAACAATCTATCCATCCATTCATTCATCTATCTTCTCTCTTTATCTATCTATCTATCTATCTATCTATCTATCCTTCATCATATTCAACAAGACAAGATAATATACATACATTCATACAGACTAATATAACGATGTATTTTTATCTCAGCTAAAAAAAAATCAGTCACGTATATTATTATTTTCTTCTCATGTAAAAAAAACACGAACGTTTAATATCATACTAAAATAAAAAAATAATAATTCATGCATATATATTATTATTATTTTTTAGGCAATAGATTATTAGATTTGTTGGTATGTTGAAACAAAAACAAAAAATAGCTGGGGTTTTTCAGATCCAATTTCTACTGTAAAAAAAAAACTATTTTTTTTATCATTGATGTGATGAAGATAAAATTGGTGGTTTTTTTTATATTATATTACGACTGTTGAATTGTAATGTTCTTTTTTGTTTTAGTTTAGTTATTGGTACTAATTTGCATGGTTAATAGCGCTGACTCTACTGTACTGGGTTAGGTTAGGTTAAGTTAGGTAAGGTTTTAGGTAATGAGGCATTGAATTTTGACCTTCATTTGTGACCTGTGATCTTGATATATAAATGCTATATATTTATTCTAACACACACAAACACACACACACACACACCTTATTGAGTGGCCATTCTCTGCTCTCGGAAGGTGATCAGGTCGACTAACAAGGGCATGACTGGTGTGCTCTCGTTCCCGGAAGGAGAAAGGCCCTGTGAGAGACAAGATTATTATTATTTTCTGTCAATATATTTATGAATTGATTACTAAATAGAAAATGAAGATATGAATGTACAGTCCCCTTCACTAGTGCGTTTACAGGGGGTCGCCAGGTTTTGTGCAGTGTAACAGCGCTGTGTTTGTTTACATTCGACAGAAGGAAACTCGTAGTAAAATAATATTAAAAATAAATATCTCAATGGAATGATTTGTGGAATGTTTACATGACCAGCCCCTGTAAACGCACTAGTGAAGGGGACTGTACACACTCTGGGGGTCAAATGTACTCATTATGAGGTTTGATGTACTAAATCATGAGTTCATGTACTCTGGTATTCACTTAGGACTAGTGTAATGTCTGTAATGGTCCTTGTACTCAATGTAATGGTTCTTATAATCACTACAATGGTCCCCGTGTACTAGTAATGCCCCTTGTACTCACTGTAATGATCCCTTGTACTAATAATGCCCCTTGTACTCTCTCTAATGATCCCTTGTACTAATAATGCCCCTTGTACTCACTGCAATGATCTTCGTACTCACCTTGGGGCTTGGCGTACTCGAGGTAGGCACAGCATCGACTGTAATCGTCACAACAGGCCTGCCAGCGATCACTAGGCATGATGCTACACAGCGATAACTTACAGAACTCCTGCCCCCACGAGTACACGGTTGGACTGGGGGATGAAAGAGAGGGATGAGAGGACTGATAGAGAGGGGTAGGAGCGCTGAGAGAGAGGGGTGAGAGGGAGTCAAGATGATAAGTGGGAGACCTTATAGAACTCCTGCATGCCCTTACGATTAAACCACTGGACTGATGAGGGAAGAGTGAGAGGGATGAGAGGGCTGAGAGAGGGAAAGAAATAATGAAAGGGGGTGAACTAGGAGCACCCAGGAATCGAACCACCGATTCCTGTAACAGTAGGCGAGCGCTGTATCCACTCAACCGCCGTACTGCCTAGGGGGAAGGGTGAGAAGGGTGAAAGGGGGTGAGAGGGATGATAGAGAGGGATAGAAGAGAGATGAGAGAGTTAAGAGAGGGTTGAGAGGGATGAGAGGTGGATAGGAGAAGGCAAGAGGGCTGGGAGTGTGATAAAAGACGGATGACCCAGTTTTTTGATTGGGCCTCACAACTAGCGCCTTACAATTAGCGAGTCACAACTAGCGCCTTACAAGCAGCGCCTCACAACTAGCGTCTCATAACTAGCGCCTTACAACTCGTCTCACAACTAGCTCCTTACAAACTAGCGTCTCTCACTAGCACCTCACAACTAACTTCTCACAACTTGCGTCTCACAACTAGCTTCTCACAACTAGCTTCTTACAACTAGCGCCTCACAACTAGCACCTCACAACTAGCTTCTTCACAACTTGCGTCTCACAACTAGCTTCTTACAACTAGCGCCTCACAACTAGAGCCTCACAACTAGCGCCTCACAACTAGCGCCTCACAACTAGCGCCTCACAACTAGCTTCTTACAACTAGCGCTTCTCCTGACCCCAGCCTCTAGCTAGGCCAACCTCACAACTAGCGCCTCCCCAGCTAGAGCCCTCCACAACTATTGCCTCCCTAACCAAGCGCCTCACAACCCAGCAATCTCTGGCTTGCCTAAGCAACTGGCTCTGTACAACTAACCTCACAACTAGTCTACACTTCATAACTAGCGGCTCATAACTAGCGCCTCACAACTAGAGCCTCACAACTAGTACCTCACAACCCGTCTCATAACTAGCTCCTCAAAGTATAAACTACAGGACTAACACATATACATGCTGTAATTCCTTAATATTTCACATAAAAATATTAATATATATAATACATAATAATAAACAAAATAATATGTTGAAATGTTATATATATTACCTGTAAAAAACTATATAAAAACATTAAACAACATTTATATAATTTTTACGTGGATATTTTTTACATTATAACATTCAATACTCACCCGGCTGCCATGGAGGTCACCAGGAGGGGACAGGTGACGATGGTGAGGATGGTGACCACGATGGTGACTTCACGCATGGTGCCTGTTGATGGTGATGGCTGTGTTAGTGATATATGGTGAGGTAGTGAGGGTTCAATGGGATATAATTGTATATGTGAAGTTACAGATGTGGGGGATTTTGTGTTTGTAAATATATTTTATATTAGGGTAAATGTGAGTGTATGTGTGTAATGGTGGTGTCCGGAGAGAGAGTCTGGTTAAATACTTATTGTGAATACCTGACACAACCGAACCAGCTGACAGTAATGAACCAGCTGACAGAAGCGAACCAGCTGATAGTAGTGAACCAGCCGACGACTAGCAGAGGTGTTGGTGATAAACTTTAAGACACACCTGACTGACAGAGGAGACACAGGTGCGATAACTGAAGACGAATAGAAGCTGACGGAGGTGCAGGTGGGTATTTAGGACGTCTAGGACCATACTGTCACAACACCGGATGACAGGCGACAGAGAGACGTGTATAAAGAGCAGGGAGGAGAGGAGAGGGGGGTGGGGGGGGTGAGGGGGCAGGAGACATGGCAGAGGGTCGAGGTATATGTAGGATAGACATTATCTTGATAACCTTAATTTAAGTTCACCTTGTTTGCCCTCAATGGTTAACTTTATCTCCTTATCTACGTGTCTACCTCCCTGCCTCCTCCTCCTACGTCACCAACCTCCCAAGGTCTGGAACGTGAGAGTTGAGACACTGCGTAACTTTTTTTTTTTTTTTAGCTTCTGTTACTAAATCGGGTTAACAGATAAGGGTATCCTCTACAAGGCTAAGATCATCACCACCTGGTTAACTCGCTCGAGAAACACCGGTTCATGGGTCTATTAATATTTAGTGAATGGAATTGGATTACATAACTATTCGGCATGTTTGGAAATATTGTGGAATTGTAGGTGGTGAGGAGGTTTGGTTGATGCTGTAGGGGTGATGAATGCTTTGGGGTTGAGGTGGATACTGGAGTGGGACTACTAGGTGGGGGTAGGGGTGAGGGTGGGGTGAGGGGGTGGGGGGTGAGGGTGAGTGGGGGTGAGGGGTGAGAGTGGGGGTGGGGTAGGGGTGAGTGGGGGGTGAGGGGGTGAGGTGGGGGGTGAGGGGTGAGGAGTGGGGGTGAGGGTGAGTGGGGGGTGAGGGGTGGGGTGAGGTGGAAGGTGGGAGTGGGGTGAGGTGGGGGTGGGGGGCAGGGGGTGGGGGTGGGGAGGTGGGGGTGAGGGGTGAGGTGGGGGTGGGGTGGGGTGAAGAGATTGGGGGTGGGGTGGGGGGTGAGGTGGGGGTGGGGGTGGGGCGTGAGGTGGGGGTGAGGGTGAGGGAGGTGAGGGGTGAGGGGGTGGGGGTGGGGTGGGGTGGGGTGAGGTGGGGTGTGGGGTGGGGTGTGGGGTGAGGTGGGGTGGGGAGTCGGGGTGAGGGTGAGGTGGGGTGGGGTGAGGGTGGGGTGGTGGGGTGGGGTTGGGGGGTTGGGGGTGGGGTGGGGTGAGGTGGGGTGGGGTTGGGTTGAGGTGGGTTGAAGTTCAGGGGTTGAGGTGGGGTTGATGGTGGGGTGAGGGGTGAGGTGGAGTTGAGGGTGAGAGTGGGGGGTGAGGGTGAGGGTGGGGGTGGGGTGAGTGGGGGTGGGTGGGGGTGAGGGTGAGGGTGGGGATGAGGGTGGGGGTGAGGGTGGGTTTTTTTATAGTTGAAATATGAGTATATCAATTGTTTGTAGAGTATTTTTCTACTTTCTATACACAGTCTCAGATAGGGAAAGACTCAGAATAGGACCAATGATAATGATAATAATGATGATAATGATGATAGCAATAATGAGAATAATGAAGACGATGAATGATGATGGAAACAGGAAGAGTCATCACTATAATACAAGCGTTTACTGTCAACAATTAAGCTAGCACCAGCAGGTTACGATAATTATTTAATTCTATTTACATAATCGATTAGTTAAGAGGTTAATGAATTAAAACCTGAACATAAACTACTGCCAGGTGTATGAGAATGACCATGTCTCCTCCATTAATCATGTAAGGTAAAGTGTACCCTATAACTCTAACTTGTGATTACGTTTTCTTTGGTGGTATCATGTCACAAGGTGGATATAGAAAACGAATATTGGGATAACAAATAAAATTGGAAGATTTGCTTTCGGTTTGTTTTATTTTTGGTTAAGAACTTTGATTGTTTGATATTTAATGCTTCAAATAATTAGATAATGTCAATTAAAGTTCATAAAATCAACGAATTTAATTATTTATTTATTTCGAGGGTGATTTCCAACGTCTGAGGAGATTATAATGTCTTGAAATGAAAAAAAAAAGGAATTGAGATACAGTATTTTTTTCATCTCGACAGCAGACTATACTAGGCTACATATATCCAATAGATACGAAATAAAATCTTTTTGTTGACTAACTTGACTATCTGGCCACTTTACCTTCCCTTAGAATGAGTTACAGATCTTAAGTGCATTGAGCTGTAGCAACGTCAGGAGGAGTTCTCAACACGCGGTCAGATATTCTCAAAAGTGTAATTGGTAAACAAGAAAAAGAAGAATTGGTCTGCTTCGTGGTGTATCTTGATAATGAGAGAGAGAGAGAGAGAGAGAGAGAGAGAGAGAGAGAGAAACCACACCAAGATCATCATCATCATCAAGCCTCTCCCTCCCCCCAGCATCATCCACCTCACTTTGGTATTAATGGCAGCGACCACTTTTACCGCGGTGGTCTGAGAGAGGGGCGGCCAGGCACCTTTGTAGCGGTAGGTCCCTTGGCAAACAACGGCTCCAGTCCCGAGTAGCGGACGGCGCCTACTCCTCCCTACCTCCTACAACCGCAAATATTTGGCGCCGCTCTCCCACCACCCTCTCCCAAAGGCCCTCACCGCGTTCCTGGATCACGATTCTCAAAGATCCATATGAGGATTTTTGTTTTCTTTTTTCTTTTAACTCGCCATTTAACTATTCATCACGTAATGCATCTATAACCCACGATAAAGATTCATTTTTGAGGCTCCGAACCCAATTTAAAGCTCCGGTGTTTTGAGTCTCAGGTGAAGTAGAATAGTTTACACACACACACACACACACACACACACACACACACACACACACACACACACACACACACACACACACACACACACACACACACACACACACACACACACACACACACACACACACACGTCTTCAGAGAGGAAAATGAGGGATAAAAATTAACGTAGGGATCTTTGAGAATCATAGTTCCTCTCTTAGCCCCTGGGACACGCTCTTCAGGGTTCATTTGTTAGCGTGAGGAGAGGATAAACAGCTCACGCACTGGGAAGGTTTTATACCACAGGGTTAAGATGGCTGGCTTGGCGGTATATATTGCATTATGGCTCCGTTGTTTCCTTGGTGCTATATATACGCCGCTGCTGCTACCCGCCTACAGTAGGAACACACAGGTACCTCAAGTGTATAGAAGAAGCGCCGACGGTTTCTTTTGATGACAACAACAAAGAAAGAAGGCGATTGAGAAGGGCTTGTTTTGATTACAGGGAGACGATGTATAATATATGTTGTTTGTTCTTTATATAGTATACTGTATATAAGGAGAGAGAGATGCATATGACCAGGAATTTGCATCAAGCTCAAATTTCTGATGCTCTTTTTAATGATATTTAAAAAAAATACCTATATCTTATAACTGGAGTTTCCCGTTACATATGATATTTTCAATTACAAAATGTGTTTAAAATTCCACACTCATCCACTACATTTTCACTATATAGAGTAGCCTAATCTATACTGTAACGCGTTAAATATAATTATGTACTGCATGTGTCTCAGCGCATTAATCTTTATTGCTAAGGACAGTTTACATTTTCACATTAAAATAATCGATAATTCTATTTCCTAAGCTATATTTTCATGCTCTAAATTTCTCTTTATAATTTCTCACTTGTTGAAAGAAACATGTCTAATAAACTAAATATCATCAGGTTTTGGAAAGTAGCGTTTGTTTACCTCATAGCGCCTCACTACCAGAGAAACGTGTATGCGGACTGACATAGGTATTCGTTATCGTTTAATTGTGAAGTTTTATCGCAATTAATCCTATAGTGTTTGATATTATTGAATTACATATACGTATATACAGTACAGTATATATGTATGTACTGTATATATACGGTTCTCAGGTAGCACAGATAAGTTGTATAAGTAATATAAATAAGTAGTATAAGCAATTAATATGTGTACAGGTAGATATTATAAGTTATATAAGTATTATAATTAAGTATATATAAGTTGTAAATAAGTAATCTAAGTATGAATTATAAAGGAATATAAATGATTAATATATTGTCATAAATAATAATATAAGGAAGGCTATCATATATGTTTCAAGAACTATGATAAAATAGGAAAAGAAAGGGGCAAGTGAAGGTGGGGAAGAAAGAGAGAAAGTAATGTAGTAATAGAAACAAGGAAAACTAGAGAAAAGAAGTCGTATGTATGTATGTCACCCTAAACAACAGAGATAATTACCCAATTAAGTTTTAAAACGCAATTGACCTTTTTGTTAAACGGGAATAATTTTTGTTTGTTTTTATTTCTGTAATGTAATGAAAATCTGTTCATATATGATATAATTTACTCTGTTTCACTTAAGACTGTGTTTAAATTAGGTTAGGTTAGGTTTAGTTAGGGTAGGTTAGGTTTAGTTAGGTTTAGTTAGGTTAGGTTAGGTTAGGTTTAGTTAGGTTAGGTTGAATTGGATTTAGATTTGGGTTGGATTTGGTTGGGTCAGGTTAGGTTAGGTTAAGTTAAGTTATCCTATCGTCCCATTTTCACACACTTGACTTACCACCCACACCCCCCGACACACATACGCACACACACCCTAACACACACACACACGCACATACCCTAACACACGCACACACACACACACACACACACACACACACACACACACACACACACACACACACACACACACACACACACACCAACCCCTTCAGTCACGGGAGAGGAAAATGTAGTTACCATTTACGAATCC